ATAATTCGGATGTTGGTATGCTTGAAGTTGTCCCAGAGGCTCCTTACACTATCTTCATATTTTTGGATTCTTTTTTCTTTTTGCTCTTCTGGTTGGGTGTTTTTTGCTTTCTCATATTTAAAATTATTGATTTGATTCTTGGGATCCTCTAATCTACTATTGAATCCCTGTATATTATTCTTTATTTCAGTCAGTGTATGCTTAATTTCTGACTGGTCCTTTTCCATTTTTTTGGCATTCTCACTAAGATCCTTGAAAGTCTCACTAAGTTCCTCAGAGGTTTCTAGAAGATTCTTGAGTAACTTTATAACCATGGTTTTGAACTCTATATCCAGTAGTTTGCTTTCTTCTATTTCTTTCATTGTGACATGTTTCTTTGTCTCCACATTTTGGCTGCTTCCCTGTGTTTGTTTCTATGTATTGGGGAGCTGCTAAGTCTCCTTGAGTTGATAGAGTGGCCTTGTGTAGTAGGTGTCTTATAGAGCCCAGTGTCTCAGCCTCCCAAATCACCTGAGGTGGACAATCTTGGCGCACCCCTTTGTGGGCTATGTGCACAGTATTGTTGTAGTTGAGACTTGATTGTTTTTGGTGTCCATGGGAGGAATTGACCTCTAGGCCAATTGGCTGTGGGGACCAGCTGCAACTACAGTGGGAGAGATGCTGTGCAGGAGATAGCCTTATGGAACAAGACTTGCTTCACTGGGGCTTTGGTGCTCACTGATTCTGCCCCTTGAGTGTGTCACTTATGGATGTGAAGAGTTGTAATCTGGTAGGGTCTCACACTGACCACTAGGTACACTGGTTCTTGGGTCTCCAGGGAGGTGCAAAGTCAGCATTGCTTGGGGCCATCCAGCAGGAGCTACAGAGAGATCTTCAGATTCCTCCTCTTTGTATCGGATTTGGAGGTGCCCAGATGAGGCCCAGCTGTGAACCAAGGCAGGCTGGTGCTGGTGCCAGTTTTTAGGCCTTTTATTTATAGGTTTGGGGCTCCCTGACCCAGTTGCATCTTGTTTGACATGTTTTTAGCCTGAGAAAGGACAGACCATTCATTTGCAAAAGCTGCTACACACAGCTTGGGTGGGGTTGTAAATTTGGTGGGGTGGGGTCTCAGGGAATCACCAGGGTGGAGCAAGCAGAAATGGCTGCCAGTCAGCCTTGCACCAGTGAGGTCCCAGCATGGAAACAATGACTGCTGTGAGCATCTCTGTCTGGAAGAAAGCCACTCCTGAGTTCCTGTCCTGATGCCAGACAGTTCAGTTTCTCCCCATATGTGTCTGGGTCCCCCAGAGCCTCGCCCAGCACTGGACCTCAGAGGAAGTGGGAGCTTGTAAATTCAGTTCATGGAACAGACCCAGGGGCAGCTGGGTCTCTAGCAGCCTGTGTGTCACTCAGCCCCAATCGGCACAGTCCATAGTTCTTACAAGCAGCTCATAGGGACTTCTTTCCGCAGCTTTGGGACCATGGGCTGGGATCTGGTGTGGGGCTGGGACTTCTGGTACTCCTTGCTCCTCCAGGTGGCCTGCACAGAGGTTATCTCCTTCCTAATTAAAAAAGGCAGCATACCCGAGTGACTGACCATCCCATTCTACGCCTCTGCACCTCCTACCAGTCTCTGTGTGCTTTCTTCTTTACCTCTCTAGTTGTAGTACTTCCACTCAGCCAGCTTTCCTGTGGTTCTGGATGATAGTTGCTCTGTATTTTAGTTGTAATGTTGATGTGGTTGTGAGAGGCAGCAAGTACAGACGGTTACCTATGCTGCCATCTTGGTTCCTCCCATTGCATTCTAACTTAATCTTTTAAAAGATATAATAATTATAACTTAGTTCACATTTTAAAGAAGACTTTTCATATTAAGGGAATGTAGAATAACAATAACATCCATAGCTATCTATGATTTGCATTCAAGCATACTTACAGTATGATGAGGACCTCTACAAA